TGTGTAGATATGCCAAATGCACATACAATACCTATGAGCCATCCAGTTACCGACATCTCAGGAGCTCTCCGAACCTCCCAGTGGTACAGCCTTGACTGCCTCGGCGCGCGTCTTGTTGGCCATGGTGGGCATCTTGGTGCCTTGGAGATGTTGCATGGGTGGTGAAGAAATGGCGAAACATGTGGATTTTTATAGCGAAAATGGAGATTTGAGCGCCAATGTGCTACAAAATTGAAACTTTTGAGTGAGAACCGGATTTTAACCAATGAGAATTGAGCGTTTAACCACCGAACAAGTGGATTTCACAATTTCACCAGCAAAACCTGGGATTTTTACCAATTTCACCAGCAAAACCTGGGATTTTTACCAATTGGTTGTTGAGAAATTGGTCGAAATGTGGAGTTAATCACCAACAATTGGGATTTTCAACCATTAAACATTGGATTTTTTTATTCGGGACAATGAGAAAAGTCATGCCAACGGTTAGCATGGCGATCAAGGCCTTGGGTTTGTACAAACCAACAGTTTCATGGGGATACAATATGATGTGGGATACAGAACCAACAATTTTCCACATACGGTGGATGGTTGCGAAATCCTGCACCAGTTGAAAACGGTGGTTAGTTTATCCTATGATTTATAGGGTTGAAATACCATCCGTTTGGTGATTTTCGGATTTCGCAACCATCCACAGGTTTCTGGAGGTTTCAATAAACCAAGAACTCATGGGTATTTTTGGGGGTATTTTTTTGGGGATTGACCAGGATATCAGTTTATGTCATAGACACACATGGAGTCACATTGGGGAGAATGACCAGACCAAGAATCAATTTGAAGCTTTTTTTGTGGGGCCATGATTCTGAACTGGACACACATGGAATATCAGTTTGTTTTATTTATGTCAAAATAATTGGTTGTTGGTTTAAAATTTAAAGTATTGTTCATTTTCTCCTGATTTTGGTGATGTCAACATTGAAGAAACGGGTGAAGTTCAGGGGTCAAAATTTTATTGTATACTTTGTACGTAGTGACCCACCGGTTTCTTATGAAAAATAAACACGTATGTTCATTCATACATATACACATGTACACATATCTATATGTCTATAGATAGATAGATGGCGTATCCAAAAAAATCGTATCAGGCCTTCGTCTTGGGTCAACTTTGATCCCCCAGATCGTTTGCATGGAACCAAGGACTACAAAGATGGTTTGTTGTGGCGAGTTCTCTCCTTCTTCAGTCTCCTCGTTCCAGTGACCGGCTGCAGATATGCGATTGGATGTGTCTGGAATTGGGGTAATTATACCCGTCCAACTAGCCATTTTTTTTTGAAGGTTTCCTAAGTCATAGACCCCAAATCATCCAAGTCATTAGACCATAACTTAGTATTGAAACAACCATGGTCCCATCGGGTACCCCCATTTTCGAAATCTCCGATTGGGGACTTGAGGCTCGACCAGTGGATTTGGGGATACCCGTTTTTCGGACAATTGCCCCAAACGTTCCCTGGGAAACATGTGATTTTACCGTGAATGATGCACATGTCACCACAAGTTGGGACAAAAAAACAGAAAATTCAACCTGGAGACAGAATCAGTTGGCTCCCAATTTTTGTGGATGTATTGGTTGAGTAGACCACCAGGTGCTTCCCGGCCCCCCGGATACATCAATTGTTTCTGGAGTGCATTTGCTGGGTACTTCATGAGGTTCTTTGACACTCCCAGACTTTCTTCTAAGAATCAACCCAGTGATCATCATTATTTTTGCTCAAAGAATCAATTCAACCCACGTGTGTTGCTCGACTATTAAGATCGAAACTAAATCCTTACCTTCATCTATATGATAAGTCTATATATGCTATAATTCTACATTGTATACTGTATATAGATACAGATCATTCTGCGTCCAAATATATATAATTATAATTATATATATATAATACATACAGTTTTTGTTGGTTCACATCCCGCTTTCGGTTTTTTTTTAACCTAAGGTCATCTTGTCCGTCAGCAGCACGGTCACCACGACGATGGCGGGCGCCGATTTGAGAGTCCCTTGGGGCCCTTGGGGCCCTCTGGTTATGTCACAATAGCTATTGAAAATGGCCATTGAAATAGTGGATTTTACCCATGAAAAATGGTGGATCTTTCCATAGTTATGTTAGTCATTACCAGAGGGTAGTCCTGAAAAATATCCTGTGATAGTATTTACTATATATATATAGATATATATAGGACCTATAGGATTTCAAGAATCGAAGCTTTTTTTTGGGATATTTTTAGTGGATATAACATGATTCATGATATAACTGGTAAATGATGGTTGGTTGATGTTTTGTTCAGGGATTGTACTTTACTAAACCTTTTTTTTTAGGGGGAATATCACGATCCATGAACGGGGAATCTTGTTCTCAACCAACCAGTATAATGGGACACAGGGTTCTCAACACTGCTCAAGTGTCAATTGACGCACGTGAGAATGAACCAAGGAACCTAGATTTTGACCCACCACAAAACAACCGCATTTGTGATATGGCTGAAGTGCATCAGCTGGTTCAAGCCTTTTGCATATCTGTAACATGTGTATTATGTACACATATATATATATACATATACATATACATATATAGATAACTGGTTGGTGGTTTGGAACATTTTTTATTTTTCCATATATTGGGAATGTCATCATCCCAACTGACGAACTTTTTCAGAGGGGTTGTTTAACCACCAACCAGATAAGTTGTCTAAAGGCGATTTGGGAAGATGCCGGAGCAAAATGCCAGCGGAAGTGCGTGATTCTTCCGCTGTTGCCATGGCCATCATTCTGCAATTCTGCAAGCCATTTTGGCTGGATGAAAAATTCTACCCCCTATTGGAATTCCCGATTTATGGATGTATATCCAGTATATCCCCTATTGTTGTCCCATAGATGAGATGCCATCTTGATGATCTATAATGTACCTGATGGGTATATCTCATCCCATCCTTGGGTTTGTCAACCCCTTTAGACTGTCTATGGGTATATCATCCACCAGTTTATAGATTGGCAATGATCATGACGTATCCCATCCCCAATAAACCCGTGGATGATACACCCATTGGATCCCATTGGTGATTCTATAGTCAAACAAAGCCAAGGTATTATAAACCACAAAACCCTGATACAATACCCCCTTGCAATTTAATATAACTATGGAATGGTCACCATGTTTAAAAGCTAAATCATCATTTGGATCATCTATTTCTATGTGGCATCTATACCACTGGTCTATATCTCTTGTAGACGCTTTCTGATGATGTAGCCATAGAAATGGGCAATTTTCCTCAATTTTCCATAGCAAACTGTTAAACAACCAGAGGCGAAGTCCATTCTTCCAAGGTTTTCAATACCTACATCTGCTACTTCGCGGGCAGCCTCCTTGCATCGTCGCTTGGACGCCCGAAAACGCGCCCGTGGAGCGAGTTCCACCACCATCACTGGTGCTAAACGTCGGGAATGGATGGGTTGCTGGGGCTTGCTGGGATGATTATTACATATATATATATATATTATGACTATAGTGATGAAATGGATCATTCCCGAAAATTCCCTTTTCGTTTTTTCGCACCAGTAAGTCATTCCCATCAATTCTCCGGTTGTTCTTTCGTGGCGTTTGGCTTCCCATTGTTCTCCCGGAACCCGGTTTTTTTTCCTGACGTCCCTAGCGCATCGCAGGGTGAGCCTCCGACGGGCTGGCATCACCTCACTCCTGGGGCCGGTGGACCACCGTTGCCTGGTGGATGGGGTCCATGGGTATCCCCATGACTTCGGAAAGCGACCACTATGGTATTTCAAATGTGTATTCCAATTTTGATCATTTTATATTTATATATATATATATATATATCATATCATCATGAGAGAGATATATATATATATATCTATCTATCTATCTATCTATCTATTTATTTATGATCATATTGTTGGATACCCCAAATAATCCGCATTTGAAGATATTTTATGATATTTCAGTATTGACCCCATGGTGACTTGGGGAGAGCCCCACGACTTAGGAAACGCCCATATTAGCTATGGCTCGAGCCCTGTGTGGATGAATATCTGGCTGAATACCAGGCTTTTGATCGATAGCCATGTGATGATCATATGAGCCACCGCAAAAACCCCGGCAATACTAAACATGTACGGGACGGACATTGGTTTATGGAAATTTATGGAAATTGTTGAAAACACGAGGTAAGCGATGGGACCTTCCCAAATTAGCGATACCCCCTTTCAAGGTTTTGCCATTTTGGACGTTGAATTCTGTGAATTGTATAGATTTGGGCTCACAAGGGCACGTGCTCCTCAGAAAGTGTTCTTCTTGATATCCATGGAGCGGTCCGCAGAGAAGGGAATTCACAGAAGCGAAAGGCAAGTCCCTGTAAAAAATGTTGTTTCACTAGCTGCCTTCACATCCTTGCCTTGCATGTTTTCATTGACTCTCCACTTGAATTTTCGCCATTTCGATTGCCTCTCCGCTGGCTTTATCTCCCCACTGCTGTTCTTTAGTGAAGCTTCCTTGTGACAAATTATTGTCGTTGCTATTCGTTGTTGAAGAGTGTTTCCATCGGCGCCAATGTGAACTTGCACCGTTTTGCTTGCCTCTCTGCTGACTCTAGCTTCGTACTGCTGTTGTTGCATGAAGCTGCTTTCTGAGAAAGTACTACAGTATCAACAGGCACCCAATTTGGAAAATTATGAGGTGATTTTTAGGCCCTCCTAAGCGATACCCATGCGATACCCCTTTTTCTGTCCCAGGCACCCAGGTGCACATCAGTCTGTGACACATTCATGTTTTCTGGTGGCAAGCTAGATAGAGATAGCTAGATAGATAGGTAGCCAGCTAGCTAGCTCTTCGATGGATAGATGCTCGCTAAAGAGTGGCTGTGTAGAGGTGGCTGGCCAGTAAGCTGGCTGTCCATGCCGAGGAAGCTGGCAACTCAGCGTGGTGCAGGGTTCAAATCCAGAGGCCCTCACCTGGCAAGTGGGGAAAAAGAGATTTGCAAAGCACCTCTTCCAGTAGCACCTCTTCAGATAGCTCAGAGTCCTGCAGCGAAGATGCCTGATCGAAAAGGAAGCACAGCCTCCGCTCTGGAGTCAAGTAAATCGTTAAATTTTCCTGCAAACCATACCCCCAAGTTTGCCATATATTATTTTTGTGCGAGCGTGTGGTAAGCGATGGGACCTTCCCAAATTTGTGGATGTCCTTTCTGTGAATCTGGGGCTTTCGAGATTGCTCATATAACGAACATGTTTCTGTGCACTGGCATGACTTGATGAGGATTCAGTTTGTTCATGGTACTACGATGATGATCCAGATTCATGATTTAAAGTGATGGAATTGTGTCTTTAATGCAGCTTGATGAAATAGGCAAGGATCCAGTGAAGTTGAATCCAGATGCAAGTCTCGCGTCCCGAAGTCGACACGCCGGACGTGTGTTGCAAAAATCCATAGGTCCTATATGGTCCTATAGCTATTCTGTAACATGGGAAAAGTGAAAAAATCCAAAGGCTGTATTGTTCAACAAATAAGATCAACAAGTTCCAAAATGGTCCACATCTTCAACATGCGAGGGAATGCTTGCTTCTTGGATGTCACATGATCTCTTGGAAAACGGTTCATCAAACCCATGGGATTTCCGAGGTTTGGACCTTTATGCGGATGAGTCTGGTTTCTTGCACCTGGCCACAGATGCAAAACCTGGGTGAAAACATGGTTCATGATGGATAGACGATAGAAATCTCATCATACACGTATAACTAGATAAGACAAAAAAATACTCATCATTACCCTGGTATTCTTATGTATGTTGATTCCAATACATTCTTATTCCTATATTATAATTATAATACAGAAAAATCATAATACGTGTAGAAACAACTGATATGATGGATCATAATGGCCAGATAATGATGGATAGATAGTGATGTTTTTTTTTTTCACACCTATCACCATATTTTTTGTATTGACATTTATACCTACCTTGTTTTGTAATTTTATAGCCATCTCCAAAAAATTAAAAAAAAAACATAATTATTAATGTTCCCTATTTGGTATTGATTTTTACGATATGTACACATACATGTCAATGTCAAACATGTCAGTGCCCAATATTTGTTAGTAAAATCTCCAATATTTTTTTGTATTATTTATATAAATATGTATATTGTATAGATTACATATAATATAATAAATGATAATATACATATATATATACATACAACAATATTTGCCTACTGCTGGACCACGGGAATACCCAAACAGAGTTCCGCACCAAGGGAAGATTGGCAACGAATCTCTGCGTGGCGTCTTGCAGAAGTTATGGGGCTCTACGCCGTCATGGTGTCACACAGCAGCAACCGTGAGTTTTGATTTGCTTGTGTATAACTAAGCCATCCACAAAAATAGTTTTTTTTAAATCTCAAAACAAGCCGCTGATTATAAGCATAAATGTACATATATACAAGACCATAGGCCAGTTTCTGCATAGAACCATCTAGTGATCTATACGATTCTTGTGTAGATGTGTTTTTTACACTTGGTTGATTGACGGAGGTGTAAACTCCCTACGTTTCACAGGCAAGAAGAAAATGATGGTAGCTGGTGTACCAGACCGAAACCTATGTTTTTCAATGTTGGTGGCATCATGTGGCATCCAAGAGCCGCAAATCATGGATCTTGAGGACCTCTTAAATAACTTATCGTCCATCACCCGAGAACACATCAGTATGCTTGAGAGTCTCAAGTGCCAACCAGCCATTCAAGACTTTGTCTATGGTGAAAGAGTGCATTTTGCTTGGCATAGCATCTGAGATATGCAGGTTATTAAAACCCTAGCCCTATATCCTTAGTCACATTAGAGCATCCTTGAATCTTTTGGTACATTCCATTCTGCTGGTAAACTCCCCAGATGTAGATGGTTGTAGAGTTGTAGGGCATTCCATCCTTGGTGACATACAAGGTTCTGAAAGCTGATGTCTTCGTATGTTTGGTCGTTGAATTCTTTCTTGTTGGTTAAAGCCCGATTTTTGTTTGTTATACTCCCGCTTTTGTTGGTTGAAATCCCACTTTTGTTGCTTAAATTCCTGTTTTTAGTGGTTGAACTGTCCGTTTTTTTGCGGGTGAAGCTCCCACGTCCGTTGCGGCCCAGATCTTTCCGGGTCATCGCGAGTTTCATCACTAGCGATGTGAGCTACGGACAAGCCATCACAGGCAGCGTCTAACTGCTGGGATGAACCCCTTTTTTTTTCCCCCCATGGGAGCTCTTAAGGATTCAGAGAACCTACAATGGGAGAATGACTAGGTAATCAACCAAGATCCTGAATGTGGGAAATGATGACTTCATATGATATCTGAATTGTATATAAATCATCTGACTGAGCTGGTAAACGGATTTCCCACCATATGATAATTGCCAATGTAGAAAGGGTAAGCCCCGAACTGATCATCAACAGGGGTTTAGCAGCCACTGCTTATCTATAAAAGGGGATATCATAGGGATATTATGGGGTATGACCAACTAAAACAATGATATGATATGTAATATCCGATATTATGGGATATATGAAAGTGCAACAGGGGAATATAGAGGAATGATGAGGATGTAGTGGCTATATATAATATCTGGTTGGTGGTTTGGAACATTTTTTTATTGCCCATAATATATGGGATGATCCTTCCCATTGACTTTCATGTTTTTCAAGATGGTTAAAACCACCAAGCAGATATATATATATATAATATACAATGACTCAAATCGGATAACTATTGTCGGATGCAACCAGTTGAACATGACCGTTCAACTGCTGGGACTTCACAGAAACACCCAAATATTTCAGCAGTTCGGTGATGATTTATAAAGGGATATACTAGCCAATATATTGGGATTATCATAATCCCTGAGTCAGAAGTCATACTTTCCAACGATTAGAGTAGAAGTGATTCTCCAAGACTGTAGCTCAATCAAGCGCGCAATCTCACCCACAATCATCAGGATCCCTGTTGTGGTGGGATTTCACCCACCATAAAACAGGGATTGACGAAGCGGAACAATCGCAAAGCGGAAGGATTGAACCATCAAAACCCGAGATGTTTTACAGACAGATATGGGGAGTGTCCATTGATGTCCATTGTCCATACCTTGTGACCTCGATATGGGGATATTTTGGGCGATGCGATGATACAACCAGGAGAAAAGAGAGCCCAAATGCTAAAAATCTCTTGGGGTATACCTTGGTTGGGTACCACTCATGCATTGTTTGCCATCAATGGAATGGATAATGATAATGTTTGGGACAACTGTGAGTATATACACCGTACTATTGATATATACTAAATTTTTGCCTGGCGTTAAGGATTCAAACAACCTACAATAGGATTATGACTAGGTCATCAACCAAACTTGAACATTGGACTTGCCCTCGCCAAGAAGAAACAGCGTTCAACGACATGACCGGTGATTTCACGCGTAGCTGCCATGGATAGGGGATAGCCATGGATAGCCTAGAGCTTCAACTGCTAGAAGATCAACAGGTGGATATTGGGGCTTTTGTTGATCTCCAATGTTTGAATGTATTTTCACGAGGAAACCAATTTTATCCAAGTTTTTACGAAGCAAAATCCCTTGCGGTCTTGGTTCGACCCACCATTGCGGTCCCTCACGATGTGGTTCGTGTGTTGGCCGCGCCTCTCTTGGTTGTGATTCCCTTGGCTTCCAATTGAACATTACAGTAACATTACAGCCTAAAATGGACTTCCAATAAGTAGACTATTTCATCTTCAATGACTATTTTGAGCTTCCATCTTCAATGTCATGGCTCTGAGTCACTGAGTCACTTTAGTCCGATAGTTTGGTGCCTTCTTCGCCATAAATGGGGATATATCAACCTCCACAGCAAACAAATGATGTTCTTAGAAGGGTATTTAAGATTGATTAATTCTAATTGAGATATGAATCTACCCAGCTAAAGCATGATATTGTTGGAAAGGAATAACTATAATAAGAGTAGCATTAGATTACTGTAGCCATATTGCCCAGAACTGGCTTCAGGAAAAACTTGGGGTTGACCACCCCATCTTTCATGAGGGAAGACACTTGTTTCAACCGTGAACATTATCAATCCGTTGAATGTGGATTAGTTCGTGTCTATGTCACACATTTTGAGTGTGAATATATATATATATATATAAAAGGATGGTTCCCCCCCCCAACTATAGATATTGATCCCAAAGAAGATAAGTGTAGCCATACATTGTCGGGTCCCTTGTGTCTGCAGGTAATGTTCTTGACATTTTACCTGGCTTAGCCTTCTCACTGATGGCCCTGCGTTTGGTGATGGTTGCTGGCATCATTTTAAACGCAATGGGATGGCGGGATGTCGATTGTGAACATGGAAAACCCCAGAAAACCCCTATGATTTCCCAAGGAACATCATCTACAAATGGCAGGTTAAAACATGTTAAAACCACCATTTTCTGGTAGTTTACTGGGTAGATTGGAAACCACATCAGCAATCTAACGGGGTAAATCTTCTGCATTGCTGGGTGGCTGTCGCCATGTTTGAAAAATGGACGCTGGGGTGCCATTGCTGGATTCAGGGAACTGAAGATAACTGGACCCTGGAATGTGGCTTTGTACCAAGCTGAATAAATTTCAGAGACCTCAAACCCCCAAAAATGATAACTGGTTGGTGCTTTGGAACATGGCTTTCATTTTTCCCATCATATTGGGAATATATAGTCATCCCAATTGACTTTCACTCCATCATTTTTCAGAGGGGTAGGTCAACCACCAACCAGATAAAACATGAAGCTTCGAATTGGGTTTCACCGTTCAAAGTGACCAACTTCGAATCGTTCGTGTGGGAGTTACTACAGATCCTACAGATCCTCCCCGAAAGTCGACATGACCAACTAACAAGACTTATCAATACTAAGTGACTAAGTCGACTTAAGGGGATTACTTGGAGGATCATCCCACTTAGTAAGTGGTTAACAACCATAGTTATAAAATGTTATAACAACCCAGTTGAAAATAAAATAAACCCACAAATCGGGGACTTACGTTCACAAGGGCAAATTATTAACCACCTAGGCACCCATGCGGACAATCTTTGTTGTCCATTATGGGTTTTACCCGTAACAGACGGTTTTTGCGTTCAATTATTTGGGTTTTTGATTATGAGGGGTTGTTCTTAAATCCTTTGACAAGCCTGGGTTCCAACATCCGACAGTCTCTGAAAGAGTCAGCCCAAAATGACTGCCATATTTGCCACCAAATCTGGATGTGCCGAACAAAAAATACCTGCCTTTTTGCAGACTGTGCAGCGTCATGTTGAAAAACCAAACAGTAAGACATATTTTAACATATTGCCCCAAATAGTGCCTCTAGACGAGACACTCATATTGTCGGAACATGTCGGAACCAGTCCGAGAAATCCAAGACTTCACGAAAACTATTGACCTGTAAGTAGAGGGATTGCAGCCGGACATGGCCGTATTTGGAAAAGATGTTCAAACCCGTATGGACAGAAATGTACGAGCAAAAAAATGGTCTTTATGGTTTTCCGGGGCACTTCGTGGGATGATCCTCCAATTATAACCACCATTTGTCCGAAGATTTCCAGGGACTCCACGGAGGATTCCCCTATGAAACCGATCCGTGGCGCCCCAAGGTGTGCTTTACGCAGCTTCACATCTGTTGCGGCCTGGAGTTAGCCATCGATCCTCGTTGCGATTTTTTTGGAAATCCGCTGGATGAAGCAGGGGAAACTTATACCATCCATAGGAAAACATCGTAAAACCATCCATAGGGGATATCATAGGGATATTATGGGATATGACCAACTAAAACAATGATATGATATGTAATATCCGATATTATGGGATATATGAAAGTGCAACAGGGGAATATAGAGGAATGATGAGGATGTAGTGGCTATATATAATATCTGGTTGGCGGGAACTGGAACATGAATTTTATTGTCCATAATATATGGGATGATCCTTCCCATTGACGAACTCATATTTTTCAAGATATGGTTAAAACCACCAACCAGAATATGTAGATTATACAGTATAGTAAATGATGAAGATCCTTGTTGAAATCCTATGGTCGGAAAGCCATAATAAAATCATAGTAAAATCCAGAGCAAACACCGTAAAAAGAAAAAATGGTAGGAAAAGCATAGTAAAATACTAATAGTAAATGTTTACCACTGGTTGATAATGGTATTAAAAAAACAACCAGTAGTAAGATCATAGTAAAACCAGTAATTGGTGATGAAAAAAACTGGTTGATAATGGTTGGTAATGCTATCTGCTGACTTCCCCCATGACTTTCCGTTCAGCACTTGGTGCCTTGGTGCCTCATCCCACAAAAGAAGTACAGGCAAAAAATGTTGGTAAGTGGCTTGGTTCACCACAGTTATAACATGTTACAACTGGACATTGCCACTTACCCTACTTATAACATCTTATAACTGGGGTTATAACATGTTGTGACCGTTATAACCCACTTACGCTTCCTGGGATGAGCCAAACAAAACCTGCAGGGAGAAATGGATCAGCGCCCAGGATAGCTTCGGGCTGCGCGTCTTTCGCGACATGGACATGGAGAAAGCACTGGAGGAATGGAATCTGGTTCAGGCTGGATGTCACCGTGTCACTTCGTTTTTCAGCACACCTATAGTATTTCCGTCTGCGGTAGATTGATTGACGTGTAGGTCTTGCCCTTTTTTGCCTAAATTCTATGTGGGGGCTTCATCAATCCATAGAGACTCATATATATATATACATAACCCCATGTTTCTATCCCATTCTTGATGAAATAACTATAGTAACTATAACTATCCATGTTTTCTTGATGACCAACTCACCCCATAACTATCTCTCCCGACTCACCTCGCCAGGCCACTCTGCGGCAATGTAGCGGACGCTTGGCGCAAGCGCCGTTTTTTTGCGTCGGCCTTTGAAGGGATGGGATGACATTGATGGGCAGGTCCATCAATCATCCATGAATCATCTCTGTTTGGAAAATTGTTTATGTAATCTCTCCTTAAGATCATGACCCTCTCTCAGTTTAAGGCTCAATTGTCCCTACAAAAAAAAACGTGCTGGGGTCTCAAAAAATTGCATTGTCACATCCCCTGATTCTTAGGGTAGTGAATGCCAAAGATGAAGAGTACGTCTTGGGCCAAAAAATGGACAGATCATTGCGATACATGTTGGGCCTGAAGAATCGATGACTTTGCACTGCAAACACCAGCGGTTAAGATGTTTTTAATTTTTTTCACATGGAACATCACCATCCATCTGGTATATAATGTAGATGGATATATATATATATATACATACAGTATATATATATACACAAATGGTTGAGCCAAAGGAACCAGGCTTTCCATAGCTGCGTTAAATCACTTAAGGATTTCCATCCACATCCGACTTACAGTGGGTTTAATCATCTTCTATTCCAATATATGGTTTTGTATGGCAATAGTTTTGACTATATAACTATATGACTATATCCTCAATTTGATCATTTCAATTATCCCCTCCTTCGCTCAACAGCAGTTGGTTAATAACCATGGTTAGTTTGCCCAGCCAAAGGTTCCTTCTAACTATGTCTACACAAGGTGTTTTCCCTTACCATGGTTAGTTCACCAAGTTATAAATGAAATGTTTACCCTTGCATTCCATGGATTTCTGTGGCTCTCATCTAACTATTCTTCAAAATCTTCATTCCCCCCCACCGAAAAATGAATCTCGGGTCCCCCCAAATTAAAAGGGCCCCCTTTCTGTAGGAAAGCTCAGTAGCTCGATGTCCATCATGGGCATTTGCTGCTTCGCCTGTTTGATGTTCTTGGCGGAGCAGCTGCTGAATAGTCCCGATTTGCTTCAGTCTCTCAGCTGCCGTCAGTTGTGGCTGGGAGGATGCGCCGTTCTGAACGTGGAGGTGTTGCGATCATTATGATGGAAGAATTTTGATTGCTTTATTTAAATACGGCATGCCATGTTTTAAAATTTTAAAACAATTGCTCTTGGGTCGGCCGTTTGCCAGACGTTTCCATCCCTGAATTCGGAAAGATGATTCCCAATGCGGTTTGCTTTCACCTGTCCCAGATTGGTTGCCAACTTCCTTTATATTGCTATTTATGGTTTTTGGTTTCAAGTAGCTGTACTTTCTATGTCCATCCCCAGCCGTAATAATGAGCCCCAAGCTATTAAAAACACATGTTCAAGGTGTGAGAACACCAGCTACATTATGAATTCACCTGCATACACCAGCAAAGTTAGGGCCATGTCTCCTGACGCCATATCCGTCGGGGCTGAGTAGATGGGATATGAACTGACATTCATAGATGGAGATCACACACACACACATCACACACACACACATCACACACACACACACATTTCAAGACCTTTGCGGGTTTGCATTGCACATGTTTGTAATTCATGTTCACATACAAACCAATGACCCCCGCAGACCATGATGATTGACCTTTGTGTGACGGAGTTGGCTCGCAGTTGACGACTGGATATTTACATCGTGGGGATGTCATGGTTGGATATAGTCTTGCGGCTTTCCAGTGACTTTCGGTTGTGACTCAACTTGATATGAGCCCAACTCATGAAGTCTGAACTCATCTTACCAAATTGCCATTTATAGTGGATTTACCCATTAAAAATGGTGATTTTCCATAGCTATGTTAAATTACCAGAGGGTACCTGAAAATCTCCAATTTCAAGAGCAACTTGGCATCCCGGGGATGCTGCCAAGTTTGGAGCGTATACCCATGGCACCCTTGACTTGACATCGTGACATCTCTGACCGTCATTTTTCAAGTCAGGAGACCACCAAGATCTGAACCAAGTATTGATGATGGGTCATCCGTTGTAATGTAGGCCCCTCCCAGACACAGATGAGGCAAAGCAAGTAATTATGTCCAAACAAGCAATAGTTTGGGACTTATACCGGGCCGGGCCCCATTTCAGTTCGCGACGGTGTTTGAATATTCAAGTGGAAACACATCTGATTTAATAGTACCATGAAACAACATCAACCAAAGCTTCGTGTCAATCCCAGTTAATAAGTTGGCTATACTATAAGTATAACCCCAGTTATAAGTAGGTAAGCAGGCTCCAGTTGAAGCTGGGTGACCCGATGCCACAGATCAAATCGGAAACCACCAAGTATTTAAGCAGTGATTTATTGTGAAAAGGCAACCTGAAACCTATTAAAAAATAACATAGCCACATAGCTATTGAACATGGCCATGGAAATAGTTGATTTACCCATTAATAGCATGGTGGTTTTCCATAGCGAACTGTAAACGTTTACCAGAGGTTAGTCCAAAAGAATTGGATGACAACTATTATTTTGACGGGATGTCTTGATTAATCACTGTTCATATGGTTATATTTTGTTGCGAAATGATATTACAATATATATATATAGTTGCATGATGTTATACTTAGAATCTTAGAAACCAGTTGGCAACCATAATATTGCCATAATATTACAATAGTATAAGATAGTATAAGCATATCATACTGTAATTAAAAAACAAAATCATAGAACAACCATGAACAAATCATGTTAACAAAGGAAAATTAATGATTATCAAATTATCATGGTTATAAGTTACCCTCTGGTAATTTAACATAGCTATTGAACATCACCATTTTTAATGGGAAAATACACCATTTTCCATAGCTATGTTAAATTACCAGAGGGTACATGATATAATAATCCTATAGTATTATTACCATCACATGGAACTGCCACTGCCCTGCGCAAAAAAGGAACCTGCTAGATTCAGCCTTGTGGATGGGTTGGCTCTATCCTCCTGTTGTGTTTCTGGGCAGAGCGACACCGGGAGATACACCACAGGGGAAGACAATATTCTGCATGTTCTATTGCTAAATATTGATATATATATATATTGATATATGTTGTATAATATTGATATTTGGCAATCATAGAATTTATTATACATAGAATAGCAATCATAGAATTCATAGAATAAGATGCAGAATTAATCACCATAAAATCAGGATAGCATATACCGATGATATAATTAGCAAATAGTGAATTGATCAGAAGCCACAGGTGGGGGAAGATGATACGAGATGAACAATGTTTGTTCCCCACCTGCAAGGTGAGGGTGTCTAGATTTTAGCAAAGGTGCAACTCCCCCTCTGAGATAGAATGCCAGATAGAATGCCAGAAAGAATGTCAGAATCATATGCCAGGATGGGGATCACTCGAAGTAAAGTACGTATTTTAGCGTAGCTAAGGCTAGCCGTAGCCATAACATGATCCACTATATTGATCCAAAAACTGGACACATCCGCCCGAGGCTTTTCGCATACACCATGATGCGTGCAGCAGCCGTGTCGGAAAAGGCCAGTCGTGTGGCCCCCTTGGCTCTTTGGTGAAACGAGCGCGGGGTGATGCAAAACCTTGTGACCCTAAACCATCCAATTTTGGGGCTTCAAACAATTGCAAGTTACGCACGAGAGACATGGTCTCAAGATGGTTTGAGCAAAGGATCAGCACATCTTGGCACCATCTTGTGCCACATCTTGGGGGTGGGTATCTTGGGTATCTCCCCATTCATAGGGGCTAGCCGCTAGCTGTTATCAGTAGGCTCGCCTCCATATGTTCCATGGATTTGCATGGCATGTTTAGCGATATAAAATGCGTCATCTTTGCGATTGAAAACATACTATGTTACAATACATATAACTAAATATATATATATACACATCAATACTATATATATATATGTATTCATATACCCCTTGTGTTTGGTGTCTTTGCGTTCCCGGAAAACATGGTTTGCTCTACTTAGATGAATCTGAGCACTGGTCAGCAGCTCAGGTGAATTCATGGAAATTTGAGAAGCGCAATGCAAAACAGAAGGCCATGCTGATGGATCATGATCGGCAATACGTAACTGGGCTAGTTTAATTGTTGGCACATCTCAAATAGTATAGCTGTTGGTTTTATGGTGATTTTAGGGTGGTTGTATGATGATTTGATGGTGACTTTATCCTGATTTTATGGGTGTTTTATGGTGATTTCATGGTGGTGATTTTAGGGTGATTCTTGGTTGATACATGGTGATGTTTATGGTGATTTTGTGAATCTATGGTGATTTTATGGCAATTTGATGGTGAATTTAGGGTGATTTTATAGTGATTGCATGGTGATTGTATTGTGATTGTATCGTGGTTTTATGGTGGTTTTTAGGGTGATTTCATGGAATGTTATGCAGATTTTATGGGTTGTTATGGGTCAAAACTGCCACTCGACCCACCAAATTTGTTATTTTAAATACTTTAGCATGCTTTAGCCATCTATATATCTTTGGGGGCGCACAAGTTCGAGCCATACTCAGATGTATTGTTTGTATGGCATCACCATTATTCACCTACATCTACCCGCAAAAAACCAGGCAACTTGATTTGAGCCTCTCATCCAGGGTAATATATCATGGTATATGAACTTCCATGTACTGTACTTTCTGGTTGCTGGTTTCAAGCAGCAACATGTTCCATCCTCCCTAAGTTGATGATTCCAGACAATTAACTCATATCTTTTGCAATTGGGTTTTTTGAGCACCAGTCGGATTTGATCTCATAAAAATCGCCCCAAAAAAATTAGTGTCCTGCCCGGCAGAATATATATCTTCCATGGACCCTGCGGCCTAGATCCGCCCCAGCAGCTGAGGTGGTACAATACATCATTCAAAGCGAAGCAGGATTCTATCTGAAAGGCGTTCGGCTAACAGCCGGCTCCGTCCAAAAGATGAGTCACTTGATGGGTGAAATCTCGGTGGACGGTGGGCCGGGGGATCGGAGCTGCACGGCCGGGCCGGGGGTTCAGAAGTGCGCCTCTATTTGCAATATGTTGTTCATATCTCAAGACTCTTGGATTTGTCTTCAACAACAAATTCAGGGTTTCAAACAAATTACATTCATGTAGTATTATGATAATGAATGCAATTACGTAATAATGAATGTAGTATTAGTTAAGTATCATTTTTTTTAATACATTACATTCATGTAATTACTTGAAATGAAGGTCTCTTAAGCTTGCCATTGTTTCTGTGTTTCTTTGCCAAAATCAGGGGCCCAAGTTCAATCCCGTCGTTTCGACAACGCGCTGACTCCTTTGAACACATTTGGGGGGCTCCTGAAATGGGGGTACCCCAAGAGCTGGATGGTTTATATTGGAAAATCCCATTAAAATGGATGATTTAGGGGTACCCCTATTTAAGGAAACCTCCATTTGGTACCATATTATAATACATATTGCTAAAGAGCCTTGCACCTGAAAAGCCTATTCAGCCTGCATGGCGACTCGGTTGGCCAGAGTAGGCAACAACTAAACAACCAGCTAGGGTTCCTTGGTACACACATCCATTCGTTGTTTTTTTTGGGGGTTTGACTAACTAACATAGCTATTGAAAATGGCCATTTATAGTGGATTTTACCCATTAAAAATGGTGATTTTCCATAGCTATGTTAAATTACCAGAGGGTACCCATTCATGGTGGAGATCAAGAGGGTATGATGAAATTTTAATAAATTTTATGGATTTCACGCCGCTCGCCAAGCAGCTCGAGGCTACTACTTCGCAGCTTTCACCTTCAGCCCCTCCGAACCAACTTAACAGGGCCGAACCAAAACTCAGGGAATGTCAACCCTGAATTGGTTAGCGGGTTACAACCCCCAAAGCTGGGTGATAATCTGAAAATGATAGTGCCGGACACGTGGAAAATGAACATTTTTTGGAAATTTTAACATAGAAAACAACACACGAGAAACTCGCACTTAGAAGCCCGAAACCCTTGCGCTTAGAACCTTATCATATGACATGATGATATCTAAAGTTATCAGTGAACATCTACATATGTTTATAAGCATGTAGATAGTTGGGGAGATTGGCACTTAGAACCTCTCCCAATCATAAGTATCTTTAATAATATAAGTTAATATCTACATATGTTTATAAGCATGTAGATAGTTGGGGAGATTGGCACTTAGAACCTCTGAAATCATACTTTGACTACTACACTGTGAGATCGGAGCACGAACATGTTTCTTGAAAATGCTTGGATAATGGTTATATAGACTGGTGATGGGAGACTATCTATATCTATATCTCTATATATATAGATAGATAGATAGATGACATATCCTATGCGCATGGGATGGCAGGGAATCAAGCAGATACGTGGGGATTTTCGCACTTAAAACCTCCTAAATCACAACCTACACTGATCTTCCCAGATTGGAGTGCCAACATGTTTCTTGATAAGGGTTTGATAGATCAGATTAGATATGTTGCCTATGTGCACGGGATGGCAGGGAACCAGGCAGATGGGTGGGGACTTTCGCACTTAGAACCTCCTAAATCACAGCCTACTCTGGTAGAATGAAAATCTTTCCAGGTTGATGTGCCAACATGTTTCTCCGCAAGGGTTATATGAATTAGAACAGGTATGTTGCCAATGTGAACGGAATGGCATGGAACCATGCAGATAGGTGGGGACTTTCGCACTTAGAACTTAGAACCTCCTAAATCACAACCTACACTGATAGAATCTTCCCAGATTGGAGTGCCAACATGTTCCTTGATAAGGGTTTGATAGATCAGAATAGGTATGTTGCCTATGTGCACGGGATGGCAGGGAACCAGGCAGATAGGTGGGCGACTTTCGCACTTAGAATTAGAATCTCCTAAATCACAGCCTACACTGGAATCAAAATCTTCCCAGGTTGGTGTGCATGTTTCTTCACACGGTTTTTTGTAGATCAGATTAGATGTTGCCCATGTGCACGGGGTGGCAGGGAACAATGCAGAACCATGCAGATAGATAAGGTTTTTCTAGATCAGATTAGGTATGTTGCCTATGTGCACGGGATGGCAGGGAACCATGCAGATAGGTTGGGGCTTTCGCACTTAGAATCTCTTAAATCACAACTTACACTGATAGCATCTTTCTAGGTTGGTGTGCCAATATGTTTCTTCATATGGGTTTTATAGATCAGATTAGATGCTGCCCATGTGCACGGGGTGGCAGGGAACAATGCAGAACCATGCAGATAGATAAGGTTTTTATAGATCAGATTAGATATGTTGCCTATGTGCACGGGATGGCAGGGAACCATGCAGATGGGTGGGGACTTTCGCACTTAGAACCTCTTAAATCACAACCTACACTGATAGAATCTTCCCAGATTGGTGTGCCAATATGTTTCTTCATAAGGGTTTTATAGATCAGAGTAGATGTTGCGTATCTGCACGGGACGGCAGGGAACCAGGCAGATAGGTGGGGACTTTCACACTAAGAGCCTCCTAAATCACAACCTGCACTGATCGAGTATTCCCAGATTGGAGTGCCAACATGTTCCTTGATAAGGGTTATATTTTTGTGACCATGGGCTTCGTGTTCTACGTGCACCAGCCGACTAGTGGTGATGGATTCTGCCTCTGAGTGGGATGGCTAGGTGGCTAAGACCACCCAGGGTTTTTATATATAGTGGCCGCTGCTACGCCTAGCAGTAAAAGAATGTGATTCGTTCCACATTATATCGATTATAGTGTATTTTATAACCATAGTTATGTTGAACATATTATGCTATATATTTTTGCCAGGTTATAGGAATGATAGGCTATGAGGCATATGGTTAGGGGGCTTCACACTTAGAACCCCCCCCAACATAGCTGGACTCGCACTTAGAACCTGGAGGCTCTAAGTGCGCAAGAATTTCCATACCCGAGCGTTTTGGAAAATTTCAACAGGTTCCAAGCATGTGTCCGCAACTATAGATATAATTAGCGAGTTATAGATCACCTACTAACCACTTTACTGACTCAACGGCTCATTTTAGTAGACCCCTAATTTATTCATTTCGATACTCAAAATGATTCAACTATAAGACCTTCCAAAGATGATAGACATCTAAAATCCAGAGCCCTACTAAAACCATTCACGCGGGTAGAAACCCGCAATACAAAATGCATATGGGTGGGGTGGGGTGGGGTAATAACGTTCATGTTAACTTGCACACCGACGTCATGCTACGCTAGGGTGATCTTCTCTTGCGCTTGCACACACACGTCATGCTACGCTATGGTGGGGTGGGGTGGGGTGGGGTGGGGTGGGTTGGATATATATATATACATTTTAAATTCATTTTAAGATATCCATTCCTTTAAGATATGCTCTTGTATATGACAACTTCACTTCTTCAAAGCTTGTCACTTCTGTAAACATAGATTGATAATTTTGCGGTGCCTGATTTTCACTTTTCTGCACATGAAGTTTGATTTGTTGAAAGATGAAATTTGTCTGCATGATGAGGCAAGCTGAAATTATATTGGAAAACACAGGAAAATTAACATGCAAATGGCTGCGGAACATGAATCATAAAATCCAAGCAACAAGAAAAATGCTCTGATGCACGAAACGACGCGGGTTTCTATCCGCGTGAAGCCTAAAATAGTGGCTACAAGACAAACTAGTATGGATACCCAATATCTATACTAGTACGAATACTAACATCAAGGATACGCAATAGATATTACCAATCAGTACATGCTCAATCATTTTCCTACATTTCAGAAGGGCGCATCGCAAAAAATCAGAGCTTGAGGAACCAATTCTTACCTCCGGTGGATGGTTTTCCACCTGGGGTCCAACCTCCAAGACCGAAAACCCATGGCTTGCTGGAAAATCACCGTATGTATGGATCATTTTGCAAGAAACCTCCATGGGGATGGGTGTTTTCCATGGTATTGTCCCAATTGCCACGTAGAAAACTACCGGAGAGGAGGGTCATTAAACGATACTAAACGAGATCATATTGACATATATTGACCTACATGGGGATGGGGGACACCTGTATGAAGCGTGATCACCCAGCTATACCAACGATTTTGATGTGAAAAGTTGCACTATGTGCAAAGTAGACCCAAGGGGTTTTGGTCCATAGCCATTTCAGCCAATGCCTGAGGTGTTTTCGCGCGATTTTGGGGTGCCAGTGCCAGTTGAGGGGCGATCCGATTTCAAGGCTGGAAGTTGGGAAGTTGTTGATGTCATAGTGGTGAATAAAATATTATATATAACATACGTAATGTTAAGATTACAATATATTATACTATATTTATATTTAACCATATCAAAATACCACTGTATATATAATTATGTTTTCATTGTGGTCCCAAATCCCAAATAGATGGACATGGAGTTCTGCAGTCAATGGGATCGCAGGAGCTGGCCGGTCACAGATGTTGATGCGTTGCAGTTCATTATGCTCATTGCTACAGAAAAGAGTGTTTGTGTCAACTTGAAAGTAGTTTTATTCATGATATGCAGATATATGAATGACATTGAATGACTATAGAAAATGGATGAAAATGGTTATGAACCAGGTTTCAGTCATTATAGTTACCAGTAGTGCCGCACAAGGTGGTGGCGGAAGTTTCAAAAATAGGAAACCTATAGGAAGGGTTGGTTGTTGTGACTCACGGATGGCAGAGCGAATCCACTGATGGACCGAAAGGTGGTTGGAGTTGTGTTTTCTGGAGTGGTTGCAATGGTTGCAGTCTGTTGGATGTAGTGTGGTGTAGTGCAGTTGTAGTTGTAGTTGTAGGTGTAGGTGTAGTTGTAGCGTAGTGGAGTTGTAGTTGTAAGTTGTAGTTGTGAGTTGTAGTTGAAAGTTGTAGCTGTAAAGTGGTGTAATTAGTGTAGTGTAGTTGCAGTTGTAGCTGTGGTGTGGTGTAATTAGTGTAGTGTATTGTAGTGTACTGTAGTGTTGTGTACTGTAGCGTGGTATAGTGTAGTGTAGTCTAGTGTATTGTACTGTAAAGTAGTGTAGTTGTAGTTTGTAGTGTAGTGTCGTGTAGTGCAATGTAGTGGTAGTTGCAGTTGTAGTGTAATGTAATGTAATTAGTGTAGTGTAGTGTTGTGTAATGTAGTGTAGTTGTAGTTGTATTTCTAGCTGTAATGTACTGCTGTTTAATTAGTGTATTGTAGCGTAATGCAGTGTAGCTGCAATTGTAATTGTAATTATACTTGTAGCTGTGGTGGTGGTGGTGGTGGTCGTGGTGGTGGTGGTGGTGGTGTTCGTCGTCGTCGTCGTCGTCGTCGTTGTCGTCGTCGCGTCGTCGTCGTCGTCGTCGTGGTAGTAGTAGTAGTAGTACTAGTACTAGTACTAGTACTAGTACTAGTACTAGTAGTTGCTGTTGTAGTAGTTGCTGTTGTAGTAGTTGTAGTGTAATTAGTGTAGTGTAGTGTAGTGTGGTGTAATTAGACGTAATTAGCGTAGTGTAGTGTAATTAGTGTTGTGTAATGTAGCGTAGTATATTTGTACTTGTAGTTGAAGTAGTAGTGTAGTGTAGTGGTACTTGTAGTTGTAGTTCCAGTTGTAGCTGTCTATCTATCTATCTGTCTATCTGCAAGCTTGAAAACGAAGCTATTCTGCGAGACTTCAGTTTTTGAACTTGACAACATAAAAAACGAAACAATTCTGCGAGACTTCCTCAATTTTTGAACTTGACAACATCAAAAACGAAGCAATTCTGCGAGACTTTCTCAATTTTCGAAGTTGACAACATCAAAAACGAAACAATTTTGCGAGACTTCCTTCGAAAATGGAAAGTTGAGTGCAGAGCTGATGGCCTCGTACGAATGTGTTTTGCGATTTTCCCATTTCACCTGTCTAAGGTGCAGCGCCTGCCACGAAAAACTGATGCCAGGTCATACGAAGTGCTGCACCTGTCACGCAAAATCATCTTCCCAAAACTGAAGATCTGATGCTCCAAAAGGCAACCTCTCTCAGGAAATCAGCGCCCGGACCTCCTAACATCTCTGATGAACATGTCTCTTGTACTGCACCTGCCACGGAAAATGTATCTTTGCAGATCTTCTTCAAATGTCCCACGCCCTCCATCGTTTTTGGAAATGCTACAAAACCCTCAAGTTTTGCTCACTTTTGACAAGGTGCACAATCCCTTGCGCCTGCCACACAAAACGACATCTGAACGTCCAAAAGTGCTCTGTACCCCTCAGTCTTTTGCACTTTTGACTTCGAAATGTGCTTTGCGCCACAGCGGGGTGCACTTTTTCGACATCTCAACTTCCAGAAGTGCTCTGAACCCATCAGTTTTTTACACTTTTGACCTGTAAATCTGCTTCGCGCCACAACTGCACCTTTTCGACATCGCAACTTCCAAAAGTGCTCCGGACGTCAGATCTTTTTAGCTTTTTCACTTGCAAATGTGCTTCGCGCCAGAACGGTGCTGCACCCCCTGCCGCCGACCTCTCGGGACCATCAAAAAGTCCTTAAAAAGTCCCGCGTTTTACGGTGTTTTTTGCTAGTGGTCCGAACGTGGGGTGTTTTTAGCTTTTTCAGTTGCAAATGTGCTTCGTGCCACAACGGCGTGCAATTTTTCATCTCCCATCTGGCCAGCTGGCTCCGCACTCGCCGCTTTAGCGAGCCTACTTTTCGACCATCCGGAGCCACAAATCATTGGAAAAACACACTGTTTCCCGACTTTCCTACCTTTTCGCGCACCTGGATCTTCTTTCTTCGGAGACTTTCTCTTTTTGATCTTCTTTCTTCTCTTCTCTTCTCTGACTCTTCCCATCTCTGCTTTTCTTCTGTCCATATTGTCGGAAGTTTGACTTTTGAACTTCCTTCGATGAACCGGTTTATAATAAACATTATGCCTATACGGTCCCAAGTTCCAATGGTTATGAACCAGTTGCAACGTAAATCCTGGAGGTGAAATTCCTAGATTTTCACCAGCCCCAAGGGATGGACCATTTGATATTTGGATCAGTTTTGGGGTGATATTTCACCATGGAATATATGGGGATACTCGTAATGATCTACATTTACCATTATCTACACACATATATATATAATATATATATATAAACAAGGTGGTGCCTGTGAGTTTTAACCTATGTTATAAGTATGGTTAAGTTGATTTTTAAAAGGGGTTAACTTATGTTGTAACTATACGCAACTGATGTTAGAGATATATCTTAGTTTAGTTATGGATTTATAACATAATTTAAGTAACTTAAGTTGAAAACTTAAAGCTAGGATATGGGGAAGTTAGCGAACTTAGGTTTTGCTATGTTATTTTTTGAATTTGTATATGTTGATTGTTGATTGGGAATTCCAATGATATTTGGTACACATGAAGCTGTTTTGTCTCAAGCTTGTGTCGAAAGTAGCATTTTGAGGTAGGCGATGGCAAATGTGGCTGTTGGAGCAGATGCATTGCAGCCTTTAGCTGCTGCAACTGTCAGGCAGGAAATGCAGAATTGGGTCTCATTTCCGAATTTTTGGTTGGCTCATGGGGAAAATTGGGACATAAATGTTTCAATGTTGTATGCAATATGTTTTATTCCAATGGAAAACGCTAAAAAACACAATGAGTTCTATACATCCGAAATATACTTAAATTTGTAGTTAGAACGCGTATGTGTTCCACCTCAAACCCCAAAAAACACTGGAAACGCGTATGTGTTCTGTACAAAACCATGTAGAACGCATATGTGTTCCTACACTCCCGATAAGAACGCGTTTGTGTTCCACCACTGTCATAAATGTGCTCTCTGCAGCCGTCTCTCGCACCAAAAACACATTCCATTTCTGAGAGAGATGTTGCACCACCGCAGCATTTTTTCACATCCTCAAGTTGTCCTGATCCCATACCGGTGCAGTGACATGGCAGCCATGGATGAGACGCTGGCGGCCACGCAGCTGGTGGCGCCCTGGCCATCAAAATTACATTTTCTGCATGCCCTGAAGGAAAAAAAGCTGCTCGCGCCATGGGTCCAACCTCAAACCGTTAAATTCATCGTGAAAACCATTGAATTTAGCCCTAAACAGCAATTTCAACAAACCAAAAACTTAGCGAACTTATAAAATAGATATAGCTTACTTTAAAAATTCTCTAACTTAAGCTATGTTAACTTCAACCTGTCTTCAATAACTCAACTTATAAATTGCATAACTTCATCTTATCTTGCAGGCACCACCTTGTATATATACATATACCATATATATATATCATTCATTTATATGTAAAAAATATATCATATCATTTATATATATACATATATATATATACACATACCAGAAATATATATACATATCAAAAATATACATATATATATAGACATATATCATATATTTACATAAGCAATATATATATATATATGTATATATACATAATCTATATGTATGCAAATAATAAATTTAAATATACATATATCATTTATACTTACACATCACAAATATATATATATATACATGTCAGAAATAAAGATAAATATTTTTTACATAAATCACACATATTTACATATATCATATATATATATACATATATATATACATATATACAGATATATGTATACATATCACATTTATATACATATTATATATATACCTTTATATATATATGTACATATATTAAATCAATATATATATATATACATACACATATATACATACCATATATATATATTTACAAATCATAAATATATAAATATACATATTTCCTCTATATTTACATATATCATTTATATATACATATCATATAAATAAATATATATACACAGATACATATATACATATCATAAATATTTAAATATTTATACAGATCATTTTTACCTGCATGTATCATATATATAGATATCATTTAAATATACATATATCATACCTATATATATTGACATAAATCATAAATATATTTACAAATACATATATTTTAAAAAATATATATACATATATCGTTTAAATTTACACATACCATATATATATATATATATACATATCTTCAATATATATACACATATATTTACATATTTCATTTATATTTGCATTTATCATTTTTATATATACATATCATATATATTTACTTATATCATGTTTATATATAGATATCATATTTATATATGTATTTACATATTATTTCTATATATCTTGTTTATATTTACATATCATATACATATAGACATATCTACACATATATCATTTATATTTACACACATCATATTTATATATACATATACATAAATACATAAATATATATATATATGAATACATCTTTTGATGCATATTTCATCTATATTTACATATATCATATTTTTATTTACATATCATAAATATTTATATATACATATAAGTGCATTTAAATACATATATATATATACATATATCATATATATTTACATAGATGTATATACATATTTACATATGTCATTTTTATATACACATATCACAAATATATATATATACACATATTTATACATATATCTTATCTATTTACATATATCATATTTATATATATATATATATCTTATCTATTTACATATGTCATTTAAATTGACACATATCATATTTCTTTTTGCATATCATAAATAAATATACATATATATATATCAATATACATATATTTACATATATCATACATATTTACCTATATCATTTTTATTTACACATATCATAATAAATATATATACATATATACATATATCATATATATTTACATATACCATATTTCTATATACAGATTATTTATCTACATGTACATCTATCATCAGGAAGATTGCGTTCGTCTGTGGGGCAGTGACTCCGGATCCAGGACACGGCATGATACGACAATTTTTTTTGGGAATTTTCCTCGTGGAGAATTCCCTGGTTCCTTGGCTCGGGAACTGGGTATAAAGTTATAAAGAGCTGCCAAGATCCAGTAAGAATTCCAATGATTTATATTGATTTATATTGATTTATTCGTTTTTATACGTTCGGTTGCGTGAAAATTGATCTTTTTTGGGTTTATTTGTTATAATTTGTTATAGTTTTGCAGTGTTTCGACTTGTATCTGACTTCTGTGGCATGATGAAATCTCGTCAGGCCCCCAGGGTCGAAGGCGGCCTGTGATATTTTCTGGTCTTGTAGAAATGTATCCACAAGGGGTTTCAATCATATCCCCATGGTTCTAAGACAAGGCCAAGTATGATATACTATATAGTTATATATATAGTTTATATACCCCCTGGTTGAAAACATCATTGCTTGTCTGTTTGAATCGAATCTGATTTTTTGCCGGCTACATCCCCATATGCTGATTAGATCTCTGTTTTTGGTTTCTACCTATTTGATATCCATTAAAGTGATTGTTTTCATTTTTGATGGGTAACTCCTGTTTTTCCAGTTAAAATTTCTGAAGGATTTCAAACTGCAGACCCAGGGATTTTACTGCCAACATCCAAACAGCATCTCCTCATCAGATATCCGTTGCCAAATCTGAATCCATGTTTGGGAAGGTCACTGAATCTTTCGGGAATACTGAATACCGTAAGGGAATTTTTCCAGACTCAAATCCTAGGTCCTCGGTTTGAAGTTGAACAGGGA